ATGGTTTCGGGTTTAAGGTTTGGGTTTAGGGTTTGGGGTTTCAGGGGATACGTAGGGACATAAGGGGATAACATAGGATATACAGGGATTACCGAGGGCGAGGTAGGGATATATGGTCCGGCCCCCCCCCCCCTGCCCATGGTCATGGTCCTATTACCCCCACACTCAACCTCTGTGGTCCTCTGGTTTGGGTTTGGTGGTTCAAACTAGAGTTTTAGCAGGTTTATACCAGGAGAACCCAAACCCTGGAAATTCTTTGGGTCCTTTATACTTTATGACATAGAGAGTTAGGGAACCCCAAGAATTTCCAGGGTTTTGGTTCCCCCCTAAACCCTAAACCCTAAACCATAAACCGCGTTTTGGTTCCCTTTGTAGAGTGCTTATAACCTGTTACCCCCCGCCCCCCCCCTGTTGGCCCTGTAGCCTGCGGTCTCGGTCTTGTGGCTTAGGGTTTAGGGTTTAGGGTTTAGGGTTTAGGGTTTCTGGAGGGTTTTTGAAGGATTTATAGCATTGTCTAGAGTGTTGATACCACTTCATAGCCGGATTAGAGGGTCTATAACAGTTCATAGAAGGTTTCAAGACGGTTGACAGAGGGTCATGGTTTCATAAGCGGCTTATGCAAGATGAGGACCAAGCTGATCCCTGTGACTCTGAATATTCTTTGAGTTCGACAACAAATTGTATTTTCTAAAGAAACAATTCGACAACAATTTCTATTTTCAAAAGAAACGACCACTGCAAATCGAGATGAGGACCATTTCGATCCATGTGTAGTTTTGAGACGCGGCGAAAGCACCAGAAGCTAAAAGTGACGACAGTTACGAGGATGGTGGCTTTGAGGCTCTAAAAATCGCGACAGTTACGAGGATGGCGACCCTGAAAGGCCCCATCCCTGTGACAGCTGACGCTTTTGCAGCATTGGGGGGGGGGGAGGGGGGCAACTAAGGGTTGAACGTTTATGTAGGGTTTAAGAAGCGTGTGCCGCAGCATGTTGGGATGCAAGTCCAAAGACACATGGTTTGTGGTTCAGGGCTTAGGGCATAGGAGCACTTTTTGCTCAGGAAGACTTTGTAACCAAGTTGTCGGCTGCCATGTTGACTCAGCTATTATACCTTGGACTGTTTCCCCTTGCAGCGAAAGTTGCCACAAGAGGAACTGGGAGCCAGAATGGCGACTTGGTAAAACGCTTGAAGAACTGCAACATCATGAATAATGTCGAGTCAAAAACTGAAGTGAGAGGTGGATTTTGCAAACAGGCTTGGTTCAAAAAATCTAGACCTTTGCGAGGGTGCAGAAGGATCTGTTGGGTGTTTGTGACAGTAGAAGCAGGTAGAATTGCTATTGCCGACCTGTGTCAGACATAAACTTGCTGGTTGCTGGTGGGTGAGCAATGAGGGAAAGAAAGCTGAAAGCACCGTATGTTTGGGATCGTAGAAGGGGCTAGGATCGGGATTCATCTTTCGCCCCCTACCGACAGCCAGCAAGTAAAGGAATTACTACAGGGGCCTAAATAAATTACCAATATCATGTTGCGGTCCGTTTGAGGTATCATAGACCATAAATTACATAAGGAATATGGAACCATAGTATATTGGTAACTATTAAGGCCCCTATATTACGGGGCAAGACCATCCCACTTCTGCAAGGAATCCCTTTTGCAACTTTATGGCCAAGTTAAGCTCAAAAAAAGCAAATGCTCCGCAAAAACGTGTCTTAAGACTATACCTTTTATGCTCCTCCCCAGCACCCTAAACCCTTGCGTGGAAGTCCGGGGGTCCCCATAATGAGGACTATATACTCATATAAAGAAAATTCATGCCTGTGTTAGGGCCCCCCTTTCATGGAAACTACCATATAGGTATTTCTCAATTTGAAGCCCATAGAGCAGACACCAATTTCCAGAAAGTCCCCAGAACCTGCGTGACACCATCCTGCCCCCACCTAGTACCGGTCTACAATCAGGGTCATATTGGGGGCTATATATGATCCGAGAGCGCCATCGCACCTCCATCATCCTACGGTATGGGCGGGGAAACTGAGATTTCTCCGCCCCCATGTGATGTGATTGGGAATTTGTGGGTAAGAACATCCACCCCCTGTGTGGTGGCTATATTCTAGGCTTTCAGTCCTAAACCCTAGACCCTATAAACTATTGCCCCCAGCCCCCTCCCGTGGCCTGAGTCTTGTAGATTCAATGAAGGTTTATGAAGGGTCTATAATTAGTGTTTGTAGGGTTGGGGGCTTTGGGTTTTGGGTGGTTTATAGTGCTTGCAAAAGGTTTATAACCTATTACCCGAACTCCCCCCTGTGGTCCTGCAGCCTGTGGTTTGGGTGTGGTGATTTACATCAGGTTACTGGAGGGCTTTTAACTGTTTATAGGGTATACAATTGAGCATTGAGGGGAGGGGGGGGCTGGCGAACCGAGAACCGGATCATTCATAAACATGCACCCTAAACCCTAAACCCTAAACCCTAATCCAAAGTAGACCAAGGCCAGGCACCATCAACGAGAGCATTCCTTTTACGGGCGCTGCTGCTGTTCTTTAGGGTTTAGGGTTTAGGGTTCACTCTTCTGAGCGAAGGCCCCCTCCTGGAAAGCCAGGCTACATGTGCTACAGTCTACATTCCAAATATCCCCCATAATAACCCCTATAATAGTCCCCTATATATATTTTTCCTTGAAGGACGTTAGACTATAGCTCATATACCTCCGGGGCCAACTAATGATTCTAAGGAGAGGATTGAGAAGCTACCTTCTATAACCCATCAGAGCCCTATGCCCTACCACCCTGCCTTTGCATTGGCCTCGACGTTGTTGTCGTATCCGGCAAACACCGTAGGTCCACGAATGCTGATCTCTCCCACCTGAGTCGGACAAGGGTTTAGGGTCCAGGGTAGGACTCGAGGTCAAGGGTATCAATCGGACGGCCTGTTTTGGAAGTGGACCATAGGACCACCAAAAAAGCATCCCTGATTTGGGGAAACCCCATTGCCCCTGACACCTGAACTACTTACCTCTGGCTAGCAAGGAATTCAGGAATGGAGAAGGAAATGGAAACTGGCAACCTTCTGCCAAAGACTGCAAACTTAGTGGTGACAACAACAAACAGTGCCTGCAACAGCCTGGCTAGGGGGGAGTAGGAAGCATTTGAGCCCCAGCATTTCCATGTTCTGCTAGGAAGTTTTCTTATAAGGAAATGAAATGCCTACAGTCAAACGCTTCCAAGGGTTTCTCGGAACCCAAAACCCCACCAAAACCCTACATACCCCACATAACCCGTTTAGGGTTTAGGGAAAGCCCATATTTCCCACCCGCGATAGCTACATGCTTACCAGGGCTTGTCTGACTAAGAGTTAACATCGAGCGCTCAGACCCAAAATCGGCAGCTTGGGAAACTAAACCACATGAGAGGCTTTTGATTTAGGGTTTGGGGGCTTTGAGTTTCTTACTGTAGTGGCCCGATTAGGGTTCGGGATCCTGGAAAACACATTGAAAATTACATGGAGACTGAAGTTATATAAGGCTTATATACGCGTCCATAGGGCCATAGGGGTAGTTCCCAAAATTAGGGTCTCATTTTGTTACCCCTAGATGTTAGGTGCCAAAATATAAGCTACAGTGTAAGGGGGCCCATAATGTTGAGAACAACCCATAAGAAGTAGCAAGAGGAGTTTGGCGACCCCAGCCCCTAACATGAAGAAAACAGCTTAGTCAGATGATAAACATTTCCAACATGTTCTTGTTCTAGTAATGGGGAGGACTATGGTTGTTAAATGGGTTATAGGGCTTACTAACCTACTTACTCAGCCCCCCTGACCCTCCAAGTAATTCCTACATCTAGTCTGCACAGAAATCTATGGTAAACTATAGCATCCCCGTCCTGCATTCCCTACGAACTGCCCTGAACCCTGAATCCTAAACCCTAAAATCCGAAGTAGTATAACAGTATAGCAGCCTCCTCAGAAGACACTAAGCCCTAAATCCTAGGCCCTAAACCACGTAAATGGTAGTTTTAGGTGGACCCCCACCCCGTAATAGTCTACAAGGGACAGCCAGGACTATATTAGGGTCCTCTTATACTCGTAATATACCACTACTTGGAGGGTCAGGGGGACTTAGTAATAAGTAGGTTAGTAACCCCTATAACCCAGACAGTAACCCCAGGTATCCCCATTACTAACCTACTTACTAAGTCCCCCTAAACCCTAAACCCCAAACCCTACTCACCAAATCCCCCGGACCCTCCAAGTATTCAAAGCACTGGGGCCAGGTGCTGGATGTCAGAACCCAGGCTGGGGGAAGGTGTAGAGGGCTTAGGGTTTAGGGTTCGGTTATTGGGGCAATATTAGGGTTATATTGGGGATATATGGGGATAATGGAAACGAAAATGGAAACTACTTTTGGGAGGTTTAGGGTTTAGGGCTTCGGGTTTACCTAGACCCTCCAATGTAGTACCTTTTTGGTAGGCGCCATTTTAGGGATTTTGGGTTCAGGGGTTAAGGTTTCAGGGCAAGGGCTAAAGGATCAGGATTAAGGGTTTACCTAGACCCTCCAATGTAGTATTTTTTTTG